GATGAATTCTGCGGTAGCGACCAGTCTACTTCACTGGCTGCTCGATTGCGACCTTCGTGATTCGTCTTCCAATAATTGTAGGAGGGCCCAAGCGAGTGCGAGTAGGGCAGCGGCAGGTCTAGGTTGGGTAAGACCATCGAGAGGTTACTAGCTGCCAGACGCTCCAAGACCTGGATTTCATGCATACCTTGCTCGCACCTCGTTAGTATTATGTCGAGGCACGATGGAGCGGAATGCGGTGTTACCCATCTCGGTTGGCAGACATGGTGCTGTCCCATTCTCAACTATCATCTCCTCAAATTGCTACTGGCGCAGCTAGCTCCAGTGGGTTCCCATCCTCCACGTCTTTATGGATTACCTAAAGTACATAAACCACAAATCTCTTTGCGTCCGATAATTGACATGTCAGCCTCGGTTGGGAACTGGCTTGCGGGTTTGCTCGAACCAGTACGCAAGGAGTTATACACATACACCGTGAAAGGCACACTTGAATTTGTGAAACGAGTAGTATACATGAAAGTAAATGACAAATTGATGCTCTCTCTGGACGTTGAGTCACTTTTTACGAATGTTCCATTGATGGAAACTGTCAATTTTGTGTGTGATTACATGAATGAAAAGAACATAGTTGTGCGTATTTCGGTGAGGAAACTGAAGGAATTAACTTTACGGTGTGCCTTCAACAGACAATTTTTATTTAATGTAGTCTACTACAGACAGGTTGACGGTGTCGCGATGGGCCCCCTTAGGACCACTCCTTGCTGATATTTTCCTCGCTATGATTGGGCGTAAAGCTATACGACCCATCATCGCTTCGTTTGATTTCTATTGTCGTTATATGGATGATACGTTTATAATCTGCGATTCAAACACCAATGTTCCCAACCTTTTAAACCAGTTAAACGGTGTTCATCCATTGTTGAAGTTCACTATCGAAACCGAAAGAGATGGTAAGCTAGCCTTCTTGGACGTGTTGTTAAGCCGAAGAAATGACGGTTCATTGGAAAGAAGTGTATTCCGGAAGGCCACCTGGGTAGGCCAATATACACATTTTTTGAGCTTTGTACCCTTGAGGTACAAACGTAATCTTGTTCGCTGCTTGTATTTTCGTGCTACAAAAATTTGCAGCCAGGATACGCTAGAGTCCGAAAAGATCCGTATTCTTAAAGCGCTGCAGGATAACGGTTATCCGACACCATTCATCAAAAAGTATGCAGTTATCCGCGATAGCCGTGAAGCGATTACTACTGTCCCTAAGAAGGACGTGTTTCTATCAGTTCCCTTTAAAGGCGATGTTGCCTTTGATCTGTTGACCAGAAGAATTTCCACAGCAGTGGCTAGGATCTTCCCGGCCGCATGCCCACACGTCCTTGCGGAAACAGCTCCCTTTATAGTCCAGCGCATTAAAGACAGACTTCCGGTTCAGTCCCAATCTTACATCTTATATCAGTTTACCTGCGCCTGTGGTGCGAGGTACGTTGGACACACAACCAGGCATCTGTCTAAACGCATTGCGGAGCACTGCCCAGCGGCTTTGCGGAAAGGCATTGTCAGTCGCCCCAATAATTCCATCCTGGAACATCTGGTTGAAAGCGGACACCCAATTAGGACCGCTGATGCCTTCCAAGTACTTTATGTAACACAACCACGGTACACTAAAGGCCTTAGAAAGTAAATCTTACGGACGGCCGGAGCGATTGCGACTAGAATATTTCAACCGGAATTATGTAAACAGAAGGCCTTGTCGCAAGGGCTTCTTCTACCCTGGCCCTAGTTAGCTCACCAACTTTTATCACTCCGTGCGCCTAGTGGTCGGATGATGCACTTGGCATTCCACCGGACAACTAAAACTTGCTTTGTCACATGTGTTGTTAATGGATTTTATTGATGAAGACTTCTGAGTTTCTGTTTGTCGTGATTCCGCTATTCCCATCACTTTGGCTTCATCAGCTATTTGCTTTGTGCCTTTCCATTTTACAGAAGAGTAGTAGGGGGTGTTGAATGGTATAGGTAGAAATTCGTCACATCTAGACTCACTCAGACAGCCGCCACACGCCCGGAGGGGGCTACCCTGTCCTCTGCACGGCAGTAACGTGTAAGTCAGTGGATAGTGAGCGGCGCTATATCACATCTAGTAACTTATTGACGATGGTCGTTGCCGTCCCCCGTAGCTCAGTGGTCTCAACCACGGACTGGCAACAGTGGAATTGCGGGTTCGAGCCCTACCAAGGGTCCGATTGAATACGCACTGCTGATGATTCCCGAAAGGATGAAACGCGCGTACAGTGCTTTTCCGAGCGTGTGGCAGCTGTCTGAGTGAGTCTAGATGTGACGAATTTCTACCTATACCTTTCCATTTTATAATCGTAAATGCCTGAGGAGATTTATCGAAAAGAGTACTCTTCACAACATTGTGTTCTTGTATTATTCCGTTGTGTTCACCATTCGCCCCCTTCGCTTGAGTTATCGCACACTGGGTTGCTACTGCTCGTATGACGCAACACAGACACAGACAGGTCAGCTGAGTCTCCGGAAACGGATGGACATCTCCCCGGAGATCATGCAACCGGCAGGCAAGTGGGCTCGTCGTTAACTAAGGGTGGCTCAGTTTCTGGCGCATGGGATGAAGCCACGGAACTCCTCATTATGGAAGGTTTCGCCCGCCTTACTGGCTCGCGAGTTCTATCGACTTTAATGAACTATCTATAATTTTCCTTTCCTGTTGATCCTCTTTCTCCATTGCAATGGCACACGCGCGTTCTCGGGTTTCGCTGCATGATGGATTCCCCAATTCTTGTACATATTCTCAATGTTGGCGTCTCCTTTTGTTCGCTGCCCTTGTCTTCTTACTTCTGTCCTTTATATCTTCCCTACGCTCACTCGAAATGTTACGCTGAATGCGTTGGCATTACCAGTTTTCTACGCATAAAAATTCCGCACTCCTCAGTAGCTTCTGATCTTATCTCAAATGCTTTAGATATGGCGTCACCGAACTATGGCGCACGACGCCAGTTCATCCGGCCAGCTGACTGTTCCCGAATTAGCTTGCTAAATCGTGTGGAACCCGTGACGTTTAACACTGCATATCACATTGTCAGTGCCTTGCACACTAGCGTGGGCCATTTCAGGGTTGTTCTGTGAGGACGTACTATTATCCTGTTGGTGATTCCACACCGTTGAAACTTTGATGTGAACGAACACGCATCAAACCCATGAATTAGCGTACCCTTCCGCGTTTCTTTTCAGCTAACAACGTTGTGCTACAATATTGGAGTCGACGCATGTTTCATGTAAAAACACTAGTTTATGCATGTGCCATTTTGGAGCCATAATTGGAACAAATTTCAAGTTAATCGTACGAAATACATGCATGCATTTTGGCATTACTAAATGCATCTGCTGCTAACAGTTTAACTGTACGTGCGATAGCATAGACATCGGCCGGACTAAGTGAGTGCTGTCAAGCCGGATTTCGGAGCACATCCTGCGAAATCTAGTCTTGGATGTTTGGAAACTGCTAGCTCAATTTCTAGGCACCTGTTTGATTGTACCATGTGCCAAAATCCTCGAGAAGCATTCAAAGATCTTAGCAGGTAAAGTAATCCTAACCTGCTCCGGCTCGCTGAGGCTACCGCTATCCGGTATCTAGAGCCTAACCTATGCAAGCAATTGGAACAAGTGTCCACTCTTGCTCTGCCGTGGTAGAGGCACCGTTTCAGCCGATTATCGCTTCTTGGTATCGATTCCCTTTCACTTCCATTGGTTTAAAATTTTCACTTTTACTATGTATGCGGCTGAATGAGAATACGCGAAATACACTAAATTCTTGGTATGCCGCCAGCTGAAGTGTTTTTTTCACTTTTAAAGTTCTTAAAGGGAGATGGTTGCATACATGCATGTGCCCCTAATGACTCCTGCTCATCTGTTTTTCCGGCATTTCAATTGAATGTTTATTATGTTTGTAATTCAACATTTTTGTATTGTTCGGATACCATTTACTTAAGCCTTTACTAAAGCTACGGAGAAAAGAATGGCAGACACCTAGGGTCACTTTTTCGTTGCCATTTTTCTCAGAGTTTTCATTTTGGCTCCCAATTATTGTGCATAGTGATTCTGCAGGCGTCCACTAACCGTTTTGTTAGTTATCCGATCCGCTTTAGACATTTTTCCAGTAATCCGGTTCACGCCAGTCCATTTTTCTAATTATCTGACCCGCCGTGAAAAGCTTTTGTTGATCTCTGCTTTAGACAACTGGTTAGCCATTACACCTTTCGCTATTATCTAGTGCTCTTTTGGCTCACTCGATGCACATGGTTTCATTTACCAATAGCATTGCTACGTGCTTGCTCCACTTCGACTGGGATTGATCACCACCTGTACAGCTTTATTCGGCCTTGGTGGAAAGGCATCCACGCTTATCAAACGTGTTTTCATTTGGCACACTTCTCAGCTAAGGAAAAGCCTATTGGTCACTTCCAACAACACATACCATTGTGATTCCCAGTTTGATAATGTAGAATTCCGACCCACGTCAAATCTTCGTCGAAAGACAATCTGGAGCACCTGCTGTTGGCGTGCTATGGCATCAACGATACGCCGGCCCGCGTAGCGAGTTTTCACTGCCACGAAATCATTACCAGTTGCACGGAAACCGATCAGTTTTCTCTGACTGTCTGGTGCTATCACGATGTTAGCTCTGTTCCGTCTACCGTTTCGCTTCGTACTTAAATTGATTTCCTTTGAAGTTAATCTGGAGTTAACCGATCATCACTGGAAACCAGCTTACTGCAAATGTAGAGAAGCTTTGTGGGCGAATACTAACTTTTTCCTCTAGGGTGCAGTCGTGAATTCTTCTGCAGGCTTTCTTTGCTGCTATTTGTTTGTACGCGATCTTTTAAGGTTGTATGCTTATCCAAACTACTTAACCATGTCATATACTTTGTTTAAACATTTTCACAAACCCTATCCTCACTGGTGCGTATCATCGCTCCTGTTTTCAGCATCTGCACATCACGGAGAATGATCCCCGACTCTACGTTAAGTTGACGCACAAGTCCATCGCGAACATGATGGAGGCGTTGGTAGGTTGCTTTCATCAGCACGTCGGGCTGCAGGCAGCCTGTCGATTTCTGCATACGTTAGACATATCCCTCCTGGACTTGACCACCGATGGATCCCCATGGAGCACATTGTTTGACGATGATTCCTCGCTGTCCCATCGACTTCATCACTTATCCCTTGATCAGTATGAATCACGTTCAAACAGTCAACACCCCTCCACTGTTTTGTCAAGGCGGCCAGATGGAACCTATAAAGGTGGCGTTGCTTCCAAGTTGTTGTACCAATTTCGCGATGATTCATTGCTGTTACAAGCACTGACTCACAATTCCGCGTCTTCTTCCAACTGCTACCAACGGTAAGTTAACCGAACATTTACTATTTTCGATTTCCAAGTCTATTTTTATCAAGTGATCTCATCAAGACTGTCCGTTGCTTTGCAATATGTCTGTATTTCTAATACAGAATCGATGATTGTGATCTTTTAACGAACCATCAGTGTTGGGAGGAGAAATACCGAAAAACCTCCAATTCGGATACGGTCCTTGTGTTTGAAATGACCGTGGTCTAATTCATAGTGAATCGAGGTCTCAATAGAGATTGCATGTCTCAATCCAACCACACAGCGGGTACTCCAAATCTTATTTTGGCGCCAGCCTTATCCCATACACACTGCTGGGAGTAATTCTGCCATCCTCGACTTGTGCGTCCCACATTCAAGTTGTACGTTGCTGTCGCATGGATTTGGAGAATCTCCACTGAATATGGTCTATCGATTCACGTACCTGGGCATCCTTATTCCACTTTTGGCAGGGTCGCTGGGGTTGCTACCGTGAAACTCACAAACTTCGATGTGGCTTTCCAAACCTTTTATCACATGTGCTGAGGAAAGCCAACTATCTTACATGCTTAAGATGTACGTAGTGCAGTTAGTCCAGTAATACTAGATGGGTACGAGATTTAACGAATGCGCCTTGAATATATTGAAATGCTTGCCATTCCTGAACAATGTTAACTATGAAAGACTTCTGGTGGTTAGGTAGGCACTGTCACGGTACGACTGATGGTCACCCCGCGCTTTCTGTTTGGTAGCAAACCCTCTGATTACACTATATATATATATATATATATATATATATATATATATATATATATATATATATATATATATATATATATATATATATGTATATTCAACACGGTCCATAGTACAGTTGGCATAGTTCCACAACGTATGGAGAAAACAATAAACATAGGGAGATAGAGGGGAAAACGATGTTCATATGAATATTGAGTCACAACAAGTCCGCCATTGTGCACGATTTCTTGCCATATCCCAGAGCGTTTCCAACCATGTATGTTCCAGATCCTTTACACTCCAGCCAGACAGCCGAGAGCGCCCGAGCACGGCTAACTTTGACGTTATCTCCATGTTCCTGGCCCAAATCATACGTTGACCACCTTGCTTTTGCTTGCAGCCGACTTCTGCGTGTGCGAAGAAAGCACGGCGAGGTAAGCGATGAGTAGGCATGCGAAGAACGTGCAAAAGCCACTGCATTCTGGGCAGAGAAATTATACCGCTCAGTGGCCGGCAAAGTCTGTCTGATCTGAAAATCGTTTCTCGAATCTCTTCATTCCTAGTGTGATGTTTCCATCGTTTACTGGCAATTCTCCGAAGGCAGTGGTGATCAAAAACAGACAACTTCTCATCATCCTTTGCGCGAACAGACCAAGTTTCACAGTCATAGGGGAGAACCGCTCTCACTGTGTCATTGTAAATTCGGCCCTTCAGAGCTAGACTCCAGACCACCCGGGCGCCAGAGATGGCGGAGATTGGCAAGAGCAACCCGAGCCTTGGAGACGCGCAAAGAGACCTTATTCGTTATACCATTAGGGCTGAAGCAGCTTCCGAGGTAAACGAACTTGTCCGCCACTTCTAATGAATAACCTAGAAGGGTAAGGGTAGGAGCAGCGCCTAGCCAGTCCTGCGTGAAAACCTTGCATTTCGATGGTGCGAAGGTCATTCCAAACGGGGAGACAGACACCTCCAACCTACACAGAACATTTTGGGTGGCCTTTGAGAAGTGCAGATTACGGCGATGTCGTCTGCATACTCCAAATCCTGAAGTCGGTCCCCCGGAAGCAGTTCGACGAGCGGGGTTCGCAGTTCTCCAAAGCACTCGCCAAAATTTCGTCTAAAGCGAAATTGAACAAGACATGATATGCTGGGCAACCCAGTTTTACGCCACTGGTGATACCGAAGGGGGGCCAAAGTCTGCCGTACACTCGCACTCGGCCCGAACTTTGCGCGTAGATGGCTCGAGTATTTGTCGGTGTGTAAAGATGTGATCGATGCAACTCCGACCTGAGCAGAACCCAACTTGCTCTTCGCATATGCTCTGTTAGCGTACCAGGTTGAACCTCCTTAGAAGCAGAGCTGCAAGCACTTTGGAAGCAACACAGATGAGACTAATCCCTCATTGTTTGTCATAGTCATTTCGAGTACCATTTTTGAAGACGGACACGATATCCGTTAGGTTCCAATCAAATGGGATAACTTCAGTGACCTAGATCTTTGGGGGAGAGTAGTTAACTCCTGAACAAGGGATGGTCCGCTATCTTTAAAAATACCGGAGTGAGTTCATCTGGGTCAGGGACTTTTTAGCGCTTTAAGAGGCGAAGCTCGTGGGCAACCTCAGCCTCGGATGGTGGTGAAGCGTCTACACACCGGGAGCGCGTTAGGCTCCAGAATGGGAACTCATTGGGGCTGCTGGCCAATTAAACTGCTACTTAAACTGCTCGGCCCAACGCTCGAGTCGGCGTTTTTGACAGTGGAATGGCTTTTCTGTTGGTTTCACATCTAGCTTCGCTTACAGTTGGCCTTTTGCCACCAGTAGATCAGATCAGGAGGAAAAGCTTACGGAAATTCCCCGAGATGGCTGCTTTCTCCATCTCAGGGACCCGCTGCATCCACCAGGCCTCGCGATCTTCCCGGAGACGCTGTTTGAGCTCAGCGTTATTAGTCTTGCGTAGTGAATGGTATTTTACTCTATGAGGAATTGCTCGACGAGCTTCGAGAAGTTGGAGTTATCGTGCAGAGATCCAGTGGTTGACAGGACAACTGGTGAAACCATATACCAGAGTTGCAGAGTTGTACATGGCACCGCGGATGTGTACCCAGCGTGTTTCAATATCTGTATATGAGGCAGTCTTCAGTTATAAGGCCAGGGCACCCTGAAATGCGCGTAGAACGTTCGGGGCAGAAAGCCTAGCTATGTCAGGCCGTTTTTGGCTACGCTGCTGGGGGCCACCGAAACGTAACACAACCTTGGCACACACCAGCACGTGATCCGAAGTGAGATAGGTACTCCAGCTTGATTTGCAATCCTGTCTGCTACCCGCCAGCGATAGCTAATAACGATGTGGTCAATTTGTGTCCACGGCTTGCCAGCTGATGTGGATCTCCAGGTGGCGTGTCGGCGCCAGGATACCCGATAGCTAGTGCTCAACAGAAAGAGACCGTGATCGGCGGAAGCTGAACTAGTCGATCACCATTGTCAGTTCTGCGAGTGCCATGGCCGTGTTGACCACCGAGTTTACGTTAGTCAAATTCAAGTCCCCGGTGAGCACTACCATGTCGGTACGGTGCTTTTTACTGAGAACGTCGGCCAGTTGATCATAGAACTCATCCTTAACTGACACCGGGCTGCATTCTGTGGGAGCGTACGCTGCGACAATGAATAGACAGCGTCTGCTGGTTTCGCGCCTGGCAGTCGCACTGTGATTTCAAGTCAGATCGCGCATAGTCGACTGTTAACAGGAACCAGTCTAGTAGGCCGGCTTCAGCACGTGTGCTCAACGCAATCCCCACGCCAGCATAACCAGCTCATTGGGATGTTGAGTCTGCAGATAGGCGCAAGGTGAAAATGCCAGTGCAATTCGCATACGGTGAAACTAGTCGCGCCGTCATGCTATAATCCTTTAAACGGGTCTCGCTGAGACAGCAGACATCAATGGCCCTAGTTGTTGGAGTGTGAGCGAGGGCTGCCTGTTATCCAGTCTACATCAGCGTCCGAACCTTGAAGGTTGCCAGGTTGAATTGGGAAGGGGGCACTAGAAATGACTTGTCATCACGAGTTGATGCATCTTCGGACTTAGGCTCCTGATCCGTAAAGCGAGAACGTTCCCCCAAGGCGGCACGAGGTTTTCAACTCGGAAGCGGAGGGGAAAGGCCGAGAATGGATGGTTGAACAAACGTGAAAGTGATTAAACGGTGGTGCGGTAAAAGATGTTTTGACATATTCAGCCGCCAGCACCTCGTCTGGTGAGAACAGTTCGAGTGAGAGCAGATAGAGCGAGAGCGGAAAGGGCTAGCCAAGAATTGTTGAGACATGATTCTATAGGTTGTGTGGGCCTAGGACTTCCCGGTTGTCCAGGCCGAGGAAGAGGGTTTACTTTGGGGACCCCACCCAGAGCCTTGGATCATAAAGACCTAACCCGCAAGGCAGCGGAGCGATTGACGTATACCGCGACCGTTGGGAGCCGGTTCTCTAAGTGAACGGCTTTCGAGTAGAGGCATACTACTATGGCGCCCAAAAAGTCTCAGTGAAGTAGCAAAGACTACTGAGCTCGTCGTGAAGCACGAAGACGGTTGACAGCCAGGTGGCCCATAGGCCTTCATAGGACCCGGCGGTCATCGAGGTTGTTCATCCGCCCTCCGTTAAGTACACACTTCTGTGACCAGAGTTGAGTGGTCAGTGACCCTATAGCCGGTCACATTGGCTTTGACACGGCTTCTTGCGAGCTCTTGTGGTATTTGATAAGGAACCAGTTGACCAGCCCAGCTTTGCAACCATAAAGCCACCGGTTCGAATCCGCGTAGGGGTGGGCGTCCTCGCGGTATACTCAGCCCGCGCGCGACTGGTGGTGGTCGCGCGGCAGCGAAGCGCCGTTACGGCGTACAGCTGACACATTATTATTCTTATTACCCCCACACTCTAGGACGTTCCGCTGTCCGCGATTGCTTATTCATCTCGCCTGCGAACAGCTGAGGCTTATTCACAGTTACTTCCACAAGGAAGACGTTCCTCGATCCGCATCCTGGTGACGCGCCCGGTGGCGTACAGTTCCACCGGACCAACGAATAATCAGTCCACTTCCGGGTACTTCCACGTCGCCAAGACCCAGGCAAAGTAACTACTAGAGTTCACAACTAAAGCCTTTTGCTGAGATGTCTTGCCACGGGGTAGCGGGAAGATGCCTACCAGCTGGTTGTACAGAATGGATGCCATCTCATTTCCGTCTCCTAACATAGTGGACCGGGATATTGAGCTTGTCTAACCTGTTATAAGGGACCTAAGAGCATCACTCACTGTAGCTCGATAGTTCGAAGACGTGCGGGAACTGACGCATCACGTCTAGGTCCCGTCCCGCCGCACAGCTCAGTCGCTCGGTAAGTAGTATTTACTAATTAGGTATCTTTCTCCTAGCCTCCAATCCTCTCATAAAGTGACTTTCTCCGTGTTCTTATTTTCTTCTTTGTTTCCTGCCCTTTCTTATTTTCCCCTCTTTACCTTTTTGGTGGTATCATGTTTTGCAGCGTTCACACCATCTTGTGCGCTATACCCCATAAATTTGTTACTTGTGGAGAATTCCATGATAGCTGAGAGCAGAGCAAACTTTTTTACTAACCCTTTATTTTCTAACTAGATGGTGGTACAGCGACACTTAGATAACCGCTACACATCCGGACAAGCATTAGTCTTCCATTTTGTTCTTTCGGAAATTCGCACATTCCTTCTGTTCTTTACGGAGCTTGAACAAGCAACCCGATTCATACGCGCCCTTGATTATCACCACCAGTCCACAGACGTTTTGATTTCGCTAGCGTTTTCTCTTGGGTCTAAGTGTTCTCCTTCACCTCCTTCCATATGCGGTGTATCCTTTGTTCCCGCTTGTGATATCGGGATTGCATGCGAGGATTTCGGTTAGAACTGTCCATAAAATCTCATGCAACAGTCAGTGCTCCACCGCTTCTTTCATAGGCTCTGCAAACGCTTACCTTTAGGGTTGCATGACACACTAGCGCATTAAAAGAATAAATTGACGGATCGAATTATGAGAATCTCTTGCGTTATGACGGCAATTCTATAATTTTGCACTTAAATTTTCCAAGCTCTCTTGAACCGCTACGTGCATTCAATTCATCACAAGTTTGACGTCGCATTTCCCGATTTCATTGCAGGTTGGAATTTCTCGGCGATGGTGTCCTTCATTACATAGTGACGAATTTCCTATTCACCAGATTTCCAGACTATAATCCGGGTAATATGCAAATTTTACCCTATTTCCATTCATTAATGCCTTCCCTTTTGGTCCAACCTGTTCTTACTGGTACGTATTGCGGTGCAATGGGTTTCCCTCAGCTCTTCGTTCTCATTGTCGCTTATGGGTCTCTGATGAAGGCGGCTGAGTAGGATAGGGCATCTGCCTTTTGATCAACAGGCCGCTGTTAAGATCACGCGTATGTGCAGACGACTTCGCACAAGTATCACTAATCCACGCGCGACTGGTGATGGTTGCGTGGCGGCGAGGCGTAGATGCGAAGTAACAGCGTACTTCAAATACCTTTTCGACAAGTCAGGCTTAGCCTAATTATGAACGGTAATGTTTGCGAGCCAAAATTCGAACACCATTCTCGAACGTGGCTTAAGTGAGGCATCACACATCAAAGCCATTCTGAGCGCATGGGTAGAAAGCAAAGAGTAAGAAGACTAAAAACGTCGATACAAATCGTGTTTCTTTCGCCTACTTGACACTTGCGTCTCTGTGTGACGGACTATTGTTTTTCTCCTTCATTCTGAGTCTATTCCAAACTCTTTTCGGATGCCTTCCTCCGTACATGTGTGTGTTCAAGAAAAGACCACCGATCCACTTAAGCATCGCTTTTTGCTTGACTCCATTCCGACTGAGCGGGACGGATCCTTATGAAACAGCAGAGCAAACTGACCTATACATGAGCACCATGTTTTAGCGTAATCCGTTACAGCGGAATTTCCAAAGTCCTCTTTTCGAATGCGAACAGTGTCTTTTCTTACCATGCATTTCATCAAGTTTTGTGGCGATTTGCCGGTATCGCGTTTCTCAGTCAAAGGGATTTCTCCATCATCTTTCAATGAGATGATTTTGGCTGAACTGTGGTAGCTTAATGCAGTGAGTTTATCCATGTGAATGCCAGACTCGCCGAGCTTGTGTAGCTGCCACATATTCTGGAAGCACCTTTATATGAACGATTTCAGGCTTTCCATCTCAAAGCTGGTTTCATTCGCCAACAGCGTTGAACCACCTCGAGTTGACCGTGGCCGCTTAACGCACGAGATTCTGTCGGTCGAGCAATTTATGACTTTAGAATACTCCAGGTCTCAATTTCGACACGTCCACTCTGAGGTGCACTTCAGTGAGGTCGCGCATCGTAGCAACACCATCGTTACTGACCTTATCACTTATACCATACATGTTGTGTCTGTCTGTACAATACCCGCAAGTCTACGAGTAGGAATATAAGATGCATTGGTCACCAGCAGTCACGCTTCCATGGCTATGTTACGCGATCTGACAGCAATCGTCACTTCATTACGCCGCTCGCTGACATGTCTTCTGTGCGAAATCAGCCTATCACGATATTGAATATAACTTCACCATTGCTCACTGAAGGTGCATGTTACATCACCGTACTCTTGTTCATCTTTCTTTGGTCATACATCTACAACTGTCACGCAATACTGTGTTTCACAGTGATAACCCAACTTCAGTGTATGTTGGCTTCTCCGAAGCAAAGCCTAGAATACGACATCGTACAACCCATCAGCAGGTTCCTCATCGCTACTGTTAATAATGGTGACTGTTGTCAACATTATCTATACAACACTTTTGGGGCCCCCTTTCGATCTCTCTGGACAATTTTGTTTTCTTTTCGTATGCGCCGTGACAATTCCTGTGCCATCGAACGCTCGGGCGATCACTCATGTTCTACCATGAATCACTAGCTGGTGAAACAGTAAGGTCGGCCTCCATTGGCCTGATAACTAGGCAACATATTAGCTGAGGTGTCTGTCACCTTTAGCTAATGTGTGTGATTATAGTGATGAAGCAGGGGAATGGCTGGTCACTCACACATATTCTGTCTAGGGCGTTTTGTTAACCATCTTCTCTTCCTCACTTACGTTGTCGACTGATGACCATATTTGATTGTTGGTGTATTGTTGGTTATGCAGCTCTGTTCCTCCCCCGTATCTACCTTTCAGTCTGTTGCTCACCGTTCTGTTACGATATGCGACCTTCTCGTTTCTGTCGAAGCCATTTTCACGTTTCTTCGTTCTGTTTTGTCTCCACACCTTCACCATTGGTTTCAATCTAGTTGAATTTCAGTGTTCACAGAATCTGCTGTGATGTTTAGTTGCAACGGCGAACAAATTAGCTACCATCTGATATGTTTTATATGTCCCACTGAACATTGTCAATCATTAACGTTTCTTTAGTCTGTTCCTATGTGACAGGCGCGCCATTTAACGTAATTTCGCTTGTCGCATGGGCTCAGTGCCTAGGAGGATATTAATATCTGCTCGGTAAGGAAGCAGTTATTTGTCCTCGCTAGAATTTGTCGTTTTTTACATGCTACTTCATACCGATCCATTGGTTTTGTTGATCACTATATTGATATCTCAATGAGCTCGCATCGACAACATCATTTTTCTCATCCTAGGGCGCCTCACTCTCCCCCAATCCGTTTTTCTCGTGCTCTAGAACTTCTTTTAATCACAGACTTTGTGTAATCTCTTTCATCCTTATTGATGTTAATTGTTGTGTTCCTTTTTACAGTTTGGTTGATATGAAATAAATAATCATCAGCTGTACACCGTAACGACGCTTCATTGCCGAGCGACCACCACCGGTTTCGCGACGACTGAGTATACCGCGGGGTCCCCCGCTCCTGCACAGATTCGAACCAGTGACCTTAGGAGTGCAAGCCAGGCGTGCAGACCACTATGCCACCGGCCGAGCGCACTATTAGTTACGCCTGACTTCGCCGAAGCGTGTTAGCCCCTTTCCAAACTTCATGTCGATTTCCTTCAGCATATGCGTTCTGTGCATCTCACGCCCAAAATAGAAAGCGACTATGTTGCAGTGCGGTGGCATATTTGATCATCTGTGCCTCGGTTTCATATTCGAAGGTTATTGCGCTGAAGTATAGAGAGCGTTGTTTCCTACTCGTGCCGGCATTGCAACCTGTGGTGCTCTTTCCTACTGGGCCTTCTATATCTTTGCTTTTGCTTTATGGTTTTTTATTCTTTTCCAGTATGCTCGATTTCATGGCTTAGGCTATCAACTAAAGGATCCCTCAATATAATCCAATTTTTTGCTGAAACCGCACAATTCAACACAGCTGATATCCTGTCCGTCCATCGAGATCCCTGCCTCTGACGTCTTTCGTTCGACCCATTGGAGCACCACATTGTTGACCAGTTCTTCAACGACAGCCAACTAATCCTTAAAGCTCGTCCTCCTCTTATTGGCGAATTTGTCCGGAGCAGAGTTCCAATATAACTTCTCTTCACACGGATCCTCATCAACTGTATCATATTACATAGTTCTTGTGTTCCGCACCGTTGTGCCCGGTTTTTTTGTCTCACTGTTTATTGGGCCTTTCCATCTGAGCCAACGGTTTCCAAACTCGTACTTGAATTTCACGCATCAGGCTCCGATGGCTCGGCCACGTGTTACGCATGCCATCCCACCGACTCCCGCGACGTGCGTTGTTTGCGCGCCGGGGGTGTGGATGGAAGAAGAGGAGGGGTGGTAAGCGATGACTTGGTCGAGAGGAATGAAGGCCCTCACTTCTGAGCTGGTCTCGGTTGGAGCGTCTCGGCTCCCTGGTTGGGGTCCGAAATACGACGAACACGTTTGGTTGGACACACTTGTTGATATGGCTAGGAGCCGACCTCAGTGGCGTTCGTGCTGTAAGTTTCTTTGTCCCACACCATCCCTCTTAGCCTCGCCCTCCAACCACGATCTCATTATTTAGCCTTAATAATTTTGCATAGTAATTTTTTTGGTGCACAGCAGCCGGCTGGTAGCTTACCGGAACGATGCCCATCCGTTACCGGTAGCTCAGCCGGCTTGCACCAGTTGCTTTTTTTCTCTCCTTTTTTCTATGTATAGCGGCACAGTAGCTGAGGTGTTCCCCACCTCCAGCTAACGTATAGTATGATGATGATGAAACTCGTACTTAGAATTCGATTACTCCCTCAGTGAATCGAACAGCCCGCAGGTTAATGATTTCGGCCTTTATGAAAGCTTTTTTCATTAATATGAATCAATATCCGAAATCACTTCAGGGTAGAGAATTCTTTTTGGTAAACTCATCTGACCCACACGTTTACATAGTACTGATTGTGAGGAAAGCGTTAACTCGGGCTGCGATTGACTTCTGGGATATTTGAACGATCCAAATCGATAACTGGTGACGGGGATATGGATGGTAAATCAAGTGAACTAAATAAACACATACACAAATATCAGTAGTCCGAAGTAAGTAACTAGGTAAGGTAACAAACAAATAACTAGGTAAGTGTCAGTTTTGTCTGCTTTCAGCGACAGTTTCTGAAATCTGACATCTTGATTCCTCTTTTCATGTGTCCTCTTCCATGTCCCTCTTTGTTTGCAGGACAACTGACGATGCATCGTCAGTTGCTGTGTAAAAACACGATACTGGCTTACGCATTGTTTGTGCGTGAATTGCATCCGTACATTATCCACAACTTGCCAAACTTTCAGTGTTTAGTATCAAAAATGGAGTCAGTTCGCGATCAAGACTTCCGCACTCTCCAGTTGATAGATGTAAGTTGCTCCTTGTCTTCTACCGTTAACCCCTTCAGCGATTTGATTACTCGGACAGCAATTTTCACAGATGGTTCACGGGTTTATCCAACGAACATATTAGCTTTTGTTAAGTGCTCACTTGTATATGCTTTGCAAACATATCAAACAGCTCTACTGTATCCAAAAAAGAGCGTGTTTCCTACATTAGTCATGCTTGATGTCGTCGTAACTTAGGTTCTCTTGTATATCCTCGATAAATAATTTTATAATTCTCCCCTCGTTGTCTCGAGACAGTCTTCTCATCGATAACACACGAAGCGCGGGATTGAAAATTGGCTGACTACAATTGTACATTTTGAGAAAATTTATCGTTTTTGTTTCTATTTATATAAACTTCTCTCCCAATGGCCAGTCTTGGAGTTCAGTTTGCTCGTAGATCCTTATTTGTAGTTTTATGACTCTTTTCAGTTTCTTTCTCGTCACATGGATCTCGTTGCAAAGTATTCGTCATAGAACTATCTGTTTTTGCAACAAAATTTAACATTCTTTTCAAATTATCTTTCAGTGTTTCATTTTGTTTTTTTTTCATTTTAGATGATCAAAAGTCAATGTTAGCGAATAGGTTTTTGATATTCTTCATCATGCTAGTACTAGGATACACCAATTACATCGATTAGACAGATTACTGAGTCGTTAAAACGGGGTAAAATCAGTTTATAAGAGGTCAACTATCGCCAATAAGTAGGTCAATGTCGGAGTCTTCTCATGTTCAACTGAGTAACATTCACTACTCGATCGGGTCAGGGCAGTTGTAAGGCTTGAACAAATCGCTTCTGAGTGCACAACTTTGGTTCGTACAACCGGATTGTTATAGCTTCAACGGCTTCTAGTATCCGTCTGCGCATATACTTCGATCGAGTATCCGCAGCCTTGTAGATAATTTTATAATGCTTCAGCTGGCCTGATCGTAGTATATGCGCATACGGATATTAGAAACCGCTGAAGCTATAGCAATCCGGTTGTACGAACCAAAGTTGTGCACTCAGAAGCGATTTGCTCAAGGCTTACAACTGCCTTGGCCCGATCGAGTAATGAATTTTACTCCGTTGAACATGTGAAGACTCCGACATTGACCTACTTATTGGCGATACTTGACCTCTTATAAACTGATTTTACCCCGTTTTAACGACTCAGTAATCTGTCTAATCGATGTAATTGGTGTATACTTGTACTAGCACGATGAAGAATATCGAAACATATGTTCGCTAACATTGACTTTTGATTATCTTTTTATGGGATTTTGATTTAGATGACATAGAAGGAAAGGAATCAGCAGTACGCCGGTACGCAGTACTGACGCTTCGCTGCCGCGCAACCTCAGACCATTTGACCTGCGTGGTCCCCCAAGTTGACTTATGCTGTCTCTTCGAGCTGAGCGCATAAGACTTCAGCATCTCTATCTAACTTCGATTGGCTGGTCGGATTCTAGAGACTGCCTATGTTTCTCGCGTCTTTGTTGATGCTGGATCGATAGATTACTGTATTTGTAGTCCTGTTTTATGCCCAGATTATGAGATGAATGTAATCAGCCCGCTTGGGCCCAATGATCTGTACGTTTGTACGCGCTCCGGCTCAGCATCACCATGCTTATTGTATGTACCTGTGGCCGTCATAGACCAATTCTATTCGACGGTTTGTTGTTCTCCACGAATGACATACATCCTCGATTATGCAATTTATTACTACTTACCATGAATGAGCAGGTTCTCTGTGTACCCTTACGCGCGTTCCCAATGCTGGTCATCTAGAGCCCGTATCATCACAATTTTGGACTCCTACTTTTCTGGCTATTGCTTTTTCGTCTGGTTCGTTCACAGTGACGTGTTTTTTTTAATACTGTAGCGCACGTTCTAAGTCAGTTTGAACCCCACTGCGCCGTTTGGTCGTGTTTTCCATCGATCGACAGCGATTTATTGTTCGCTCGAATGCCGTTCGTGTTTTTTTTACCCGACATTTGTGTCCATTTCGTTACATTGGCATGAATGTGGGCCTTCGACCGTGACTTTTTTCGTCTTGGCGGATTGAACTGAACGAATGCCGATAAAATTCATTTGTTGTGCTTGGAATACCCTTGTGGGAATGTATCGCAGTTTGCTTTGACTGAACTCCGATCAATTCGATCACTAGGATAGTATCTCACGCAACTAAAAAAGGTACTGTATGTCGTAATCCATTCGCATCACAAATGCTCCACTTACTATCAACACTGAGTATTTGTAGTTGTCCTGATGCGCGTCTGCTGCAGACCCAACTGGTGTAAGGGTAACGACGTTTACCGGGAGTTTCAACGCTGTGGGTTCGAGCGAACAGACACAATTTCGGAGGTAAAATGCAGTACTGTTACCGGGTGGCGTCTAGTCTCGAGTATACTTGTAATCTACCTTGGATTCATATTATCCAACGGTTTGAAAACAAGCATTTGGTATGCTTACTGGGCTGCATTTAGCCTTCTACACAGGAGCTTCGCCGTTGTGAGTGCAGCAGTACATATTTCGGTACTCTACAAGGATTTCAGTTTTCGAACTTTTTAATCTTGAAGTACCCACCTTGCGGATTGCCACACGCAGCTTTACTTGGGATTGCGCTTTTTTGGAAGTTAGCATGGAGCAGTACGACCACTTGACCCGTTTAGAGAGTGGCGTTTTCGTTATTGCTCTTTCCCGACGCGACTAATTTAAAACTCAACATCGAATTTCCAACCACGATGCCATGCGTTCTTCTCAGTCCACATTGGCTTTATGATTAAGGTGTCTGTCCTCCCTCACTACGCCTCGGGTTCCACTTTAGCTTGATCATCTCTTTCTGACGAGTCCAAGCAAGCACAAAGCGATGGAGAATTTTTGTGCTGAAGCCATCACTACAACTGGTACAGGGAAATGTTTAAGTTCTTCGCTTAACACTCTGACTGATGATGAATGAGACCTTGCCCACTACTGTGTTTCCTTATATTCCGACTCCACTTATGCGCCGATTTCATTCGGATTGGCTTTCTGTGCAAATGCTGACCTTACATAATCCATTCTATTCACGTGCTTGTTCTATTTCGGTTTTTGTTGCCACAATCAGCCGTCTCCGAGGCGTTATTCGTAACGGCCTCAACCTTCTTCAAGTCGATTCCGTGTCTGCATCTTGTGTGAGTACGGATGCCACCGTGTCGTTGACCACTACTTTGTAGTCTGAGCCTTCCCTCGGCAGGCGTGACGTGGACATACGATCTGCATTTGACTCCGTTGATCGAATTGCTTTCTGGCATTGTTCGTTGAAGAACGGGGTGCCAGAGGAGTATACCGCCATCTTACGTGTACTATACCTTCTGAAGAGTGAGGGTCTGTGACAAGCTTTCCTCGCCCTTCGCTATCAATAGCGGTGTGCCACTGGGCTGCTGTATGTCCCCATTTCTCTTTAACTTGACAATCGAGGACATCCTGGCGAGAGCTCTAGATTTCCAAAATTTGGGCCTAGGGCTTCTATCGGGTGAGCGCTTGACTGGCTTAGATTATACTGATGCTTTTGTCTTACTTGGTGATGATGCACAGGTTATGAAACTCATTCTGAATAGTTTGGCGGTTAAGCCATCTACGTATGCCATAAGCTTCGCCCCATCGAACTGCAAAGTGTTGCTCTAGGATTGGCACACACCTGCTCCCCTTTTCACTCTTGAAGGTGCACAACTTGAACATGTAGATAGTTTCGTCTACAGTTTTAAAAACCCCATAATATGATCAGAAGCCAGGGTAAGCGAACATATGTTTTCGATAATTCATCTTCAGGCTTATACAATTATATGCAAATCAAAATGTGCAGACAAACATTACAAGTCGTTACTACTGGAGCGAGTTAATTGGATGCTGACAGCGCTGTCTGTTAAGCCACGACAACCGACTGCGTGTGACCTCCTGTGTCAGAGGTCACCGGCCGTTTGGGCCAGGGCAGTCCCAAGCCTTTAGTTAGCTTCTTCTGAACACAGCTCCGGTTCATACAACCGGATTGCAATAACTTCGGCTACTTCTAGTAGTCGCTTGCGGACGTAGCTCGAGCAGTGCTTTGGGGCCTGATAGATTAGTTTGAACACACAGTGAAATTTGTGGCTTGCCCTGTATCGGCTAGGTGCGCGGCGATTGAAAAGTTCGCTGTATTTCCATTTCCAGTTCTAAACCCGACCGGGTGATGTTCCTTCATTCTCTCAGATCGACGCCGTGTCGTACGACCAATGTATTCCGCTCCAAGCATGCCCATGAAGACGTGGGCGAGGAACGGACCCAGTGGGGAACCCATCGCAATGCCGGTATAATTCGCCACTGAATAGAAACCGAACATTTTATGTGCATCTGAACAATAGTTCCTTTAAGATCACCGTGGGTATGCCAACATTAATGTGGTTTGCATCAACATACTCACAGATGTAGTTTATGGTCTCAACTAATGGTACGTTGGTGAAGAGTGAACTAATGTCGAAGGAGCACATGGTTAGATTGGAAACATTTACATCACGCACGATATTCACAAACTCAAAGCTATCATTAACACTGTGCACAACAATTCGCTGTCCAATATGCGTAAGAATCAAAACCAGCCACCGAGCAATCGAGTGATATGGGGAGTTTTTCATATCCAAGACGGGATGATGGGGGACGTTAGGCTTGTATTTTTGGTAGCCCATAAAGCCTTGGAATAACCCTTCTTACCGGCCGAAGTTGTTCATAAGTGGCTTCGTTGATGTAACCATCCTCTTGAAGCCTTTTAAGACAGTTGAAAAATTAAGTTTCAATCTGTTTTGTTTTTCTCACCTATGGCCCTCAGAAACTTGGTTTCATCTGCCAGTATTTCTTTCATTTTGCTTAAGTAGTCCACTGTTCATGATAACAATGCCCGCGCTTTGATCTGGCCGTGTGAGTAAGACCTCATCATTGCTAATCAGACGGTTAAGAGCTTCAAGGCGTTCTTGTTTTACCGGAGTCTTATGTACTATGCTCGCACGTCGGTACTGGTAGCATGCATGGACGTTCGACGTCGCGTCTTGGGGATTGTGAGTATTCTCATCAACAAGCTGGTTCTGCTGCGCCCGTTAAGATGTCTCGGTCACGTCCTACGTATGGTGCTCTATTCGTTCGTTCAGGACCCTGGTGGAGGCGACCGCTTTTTGGTCAGCCTTCCACCTGGGGACAGGAAACAAAATCGCTGATGTCAAGTCCAGCTACTGTTGGACCCGTACGTCATCCAGCATTGGGACCTAAGAATGCAGAGGGGCAATTGCTTAGCGCGCATTTCTGTTTCATTTTGATCCATGCACTTTTGGTCACTGCCGAGGAAGGCCACACGTTGTAATCTGTCGACTTTTTACCTGTTTTCCTCAGTCACAAACACAGTTCTAGCTAGGTGTATATGCAGTTGTAGATGTGGTGTTCTTGGCAACAGAGTAGCACACATGAGTTTGATGTGTATTAACTTAGCCGGCCCCAACTCAAGCTACCTGACTACTTCAAGCGTTTCTGTGCCCGTACATGGCACCACAACTCACAGTGAACTGACACACTGAGTGAGAGCGGCCTGACGAGCTTTAGGGTTCGAGTTCTAGTGTTGGAATCTACTAGCGGCCCGATTAAGAAACGACTTCTCAGTACACGTTTGGTCAGACCTCTGTGCTCGCTACTGTTTACATTTTGTCCTTTATTGAATGGAAGTACTCATTGCAATCAAAACGTTGGCATGTGATAACTTATCTCTCCATCAGTTAACAACCTTAACTATGCCAATAATAACTTTAATAATCGGCAAAACTTACGCAAAGGTTTGATACATTTGTACGTGTGTGTGCGCGTGTGTGTGCATCCTTGCTTACACATGTCATTTGTGCTGCTTCTGCTTAATCGAGTTGTGGCTGAGTGCAGCATGCAGAGTAGACGCTAAAGTTAACTATGTTGACGCGCTGCGTAAGCTCTGCGTGTTCAACATATCTCTCTGATGGGGGACTCATGCTGTGTTACCGGGTATCAGTATTTTTGGAACACGTGAGCTTGCACTTTTGACGTAGCCATGTGAACTCTGCTTCTTGGGAAGTGCTCACGTCCCACCAGTCTACGGACGGCTTACTGATGAACGGTTTTAGTTGTATCTTATTAATCGCTTCTTCGTTCTAAACTGAAATCATTATTTCTGAGGCTCAATGGACTGTTCTAATCCACTTCGATGACACTGCAGCCAGCTGGATGCAATTACTGTGTGAACAGTTTCCACTTGGTAAGTGGCTAATGGAGGCTGAATTTGTCAGTTATGTGTGCATGCATACATGCTTGGCGACATCCGGTTTCGGATTTGCCTGTCACTGTGGCCAGCCACAGGACGCCTGCGCCTACAGAGGGACCATGGGTGGCTTGCGCTGCACCACCCACAGATCCATCCACACACCCCATATCCAGTGCAAACCCGAAGGGATAAGACCAGGAGGCATGTGGGAGCGAGCCACGTTTCATCAACAGAGCCGGCCAACACTCCTTCACAGGCAAACACAAGCACACTGTATTTGGGGAATCAAACGCACACAAGGCGGTGGCTGGACCGTAGTCCGGTCCACACTGACTACATGGAACCACTGTTTTATCCTGACACGGCCACAAGGACCATGCACACCGTCCCCTTCAGCAACGACCAACTGTCTCCTGGAGCCAGTATGGACGAGGTGTAGTGGGTAATAGACAGGTAGCCACCTTGTCAACATGCACATCAAGCGCAGCCACACCGGGGATATCAAGCAACGGCCATTCACTTGAAACGACGAAATAAAATAAATCCAATAATGCATACAGATTCGTTGGCATAACTCTTCTCTAAATTAGCATGTGAAGTAAGTTGGTTAGCAGCGAATCCGCGATAAGTAAGCAATGTCCAAAAGTTACTTAAAATGCTACAAACGCAACAAATTTACCGAAGATAAGCGCAATTAGCGTAAGCAACGTGGCCAGTTAATAGAGGATTATTCAAGTAGACAGAACAAACCAAATAAAGTGGAATGAAGTTTATCCAGCCTAGAAAGACCTTTCTCTCTCTCTCTCTCTCTGTGTGTGTGTGTGTGTGTGTGTGTGTGGATCACTACTCAATTCGCCGTGATTGTCATGCCATGTGTCTCGCCAGGAAGCGCTTTTCCTCGCATCAGATGCGACTCGATTGCACTCATTGAATAAGTGGAGTGTTTGCTTGGTTAATGGCATCTTGTTTTTCCCCTCTTTTCACTTAGCTTTCGACATTGGATGCTCATGTTTTAACGGCTAGCAAAATTCTAAAGCCTTCGCATCCGAACCAATTCACTTGCTTGTACTATGTTACTTTGTAGAATTCCCTTGAACTGGACACCACCGGGCTTCCTATGAAAATGTTTGCCGATGTGTTCGAAGCGCTGATCGGAGCAGTTTTCTTGGACTCCCACGGAGATTTACCGCGCACCACTCAAGTGGTTTATGTTCTTTTGGCTAACCTTCTATGTGAGTTCCCCTGGCATCATGATGCCGTTCTTGCCGATTTGTCTGTCCTCCACCGAAAACTGGAATTTATTCTCACTCTCTTCCGATTTCGGTCAACCATTTTAGCTTCTGTTGTCTCATTTATTGACTGCATAATCCTCGCCAACCGGTCCAAACGTTGTCCAATTCCTCGAAGCAACATGTACATCGAGCGCCTTGTGATCAATTGTTTTAGATGCTTAGCCCATAATCCACGGAACACCGATTCAAATATGCATAGGTATTCGCGACCTCGCAGCATCCTATACAAAGTGCATTGTAGCGAATCAAAAGCGAGTCCTTTCGGCCTACTATTGGTGCCCTGTTCTGCTGCTTCCTTCCTTCACTTTTCTCTGCATATTTTTCTTTTTGAATTAATTCATATGTATGATGGCTCTCATCACCGTCTGTCAACCAATGTGGATTATGCGGAGTGGTCCTCACACGTAATCCTGATTGAATCCGCTTTTTCACATCCACCTACACCGGAGTGCACTGGTATTTTGTTCGCCAACGCTGCTCCTCAACTGGAAGGCCTATAGGATGATGGCAAACTGAAGCGTTGTGCTGAAATAATGAACCCAAGTTGTGAAACAGAAATTAGAGCGCGCTAATCAAATCCCTTAACTAACGACCTGTCTGCGCAGTCGAAACATAATTTAGTTGGTAGGAGAATTTCTTTTGACAAACAAATATAATGGACTCATGCATAAATGATCCGAATCGCGATTACGTGTGGTGTTATGTCTACGATCGCAGCTAAGTCCATACGAAATGCAAGCGTTCTGTACATACTGCACAGTAAAACATGGCACATTTTGGAGCGGCTCAAATCAGATACGTTATAACCTCCGTAAGTTGACCACTCAAGCGACTGAACCAAAGCGGTCAACATAGAGAGGTTCTCCACATATGGAGGTTATATGCTAAAACTGCGTAACCTACCTTCCCGTTGTGAGTAGTATAGTGTGAAATTTATTTTCGTATAAATCCGTTTCGAACACATTAGACGAGGTCTCTCGTAAAAACAAATGCAATTCAACCAAACAGTGTTATAATAAATCGAAACTTAGTGTGCATATTTGCAAGTTAAATCATTTTGTTTCTTTCATTTATCACAAAGTACCTGAAAAAAGCGCCCTCAGCGCATGCTACACTAATTAACATGCTTTGAAATTTTTCCACGGCACATGATTTCAGTTGCATTAACAGATGTCTGACTTCATTTTAATTTGGAGTTTCTGTGATTTCCAAATAATCGTCACTCAGTCCCTCTACTTCTTCATCAGCATCATCAGGTGTTTGTTTCCGTAGGGAAGTGCCGCATCTGGGTCTGGTTCAGTGCTGGTTACCAAGTCATCATCCATTACAACAAACTTTAAAATTTGTTCTGTCGAATTCTACTAATGAAGATGGTATGTCTAATAAGGTGAAGGCGTTCCGTTCGAGAGATTAAACCAACTCCGCTTTTCTGAAACACTTCTGGTTGAGCTTTGAACAGCATCCATGGCATTGCCTGGAGCAACAGATGAATTTTTTTTCGCTTGAGAATCATTAGTATTCAATTTTGCTATAGCCCATTGCATAAGCTGGGTTTGGTAGTGCATTTTGAATATTTTGCTGATCTTTTAGTGCAGAGGTTGTATGTATGAGATCATGTTTGTAGGCAGAAATCAGCTGTAGGCAAATCAATGGTTTTTATATGGGTATGACTAGGACAGTTGTTCACTGTTAGGATAATAAAGCGTTTCTTCTCCATCATTTCTTTGTCGATACTGCTGATCCACTCCTCAACTATGGCAGCGGTCAGCCATGCAGATTAATTTGATCTCCAGATGACTGGAACGTTTTCAGGATTTGGGTTTTTGTACGCACGTGGTTTAGCTGAGTTGCAATGACGAAGCGCATTAGCTTCTCTCCACTTGAGCTAGCGCACAACAGAACTGTGAAACGTTCTTTGGCATGTTTTCCACTCTTACATTTGTCACCCTTTATAATAAGGCTTCTGTTAGGCATCGCCTTGAAAATGAGTGCAATCGTCAGCGTTAAAAATGTCATTGTTTGCAAATTTTTCCTTGAAATCTTGAACAGACCCTTCAGGCACTTCATTAGATTCACCACATAGAATTGTTTGGGAAATATCATGTCGGAGTTTTAATTTCTCTAGCCAACTCTTTGCTGCCTGGAAATATGCAACCCGTAATTCTTGTGAGGACCTTTTAGCAGTTTCTTGTATCATCTGCCCAGAAATTCGAGCATTATTTGCCATCATTTGCTTGAACCAGCTCAGGGTATCCTCATTGACTTCATCATGTGAAGTTTGCCGCCTCTTCCGCTGTAGATCTCCTCTTTCATTATCGTATCTCTACAAGTACTCGTGTTTATGTCATTTAATCTTGCTAGCTGTTGTCTTGCTAACACTAAACTGATCTGCCTTCTTTTTTCGGTTACTGTTTTCCAGCAATTATAGCAGACTAATCTTTACCTTTAATGTAAATGTAATGTTGAGTTCCTCGTAATGACCGGTCCTAAATTTTTCAACGCACAGAGTGGATCTAAAGTCTACAGTTCTATTGTTGTAACATTAATTACATACAATAAGTAATCGCAATTGGTTTTACTCTCTGGCAGACAACGAGGAGAGCCGGATAAGCGCTCGACATTTAATGTGGGTGTAAATGTTGATCTGGCCACAATCCAATCGAGCGTGTGTCAGTCACTGAAATTTTTGATTGCGATGAGTGGACGCCTGTGGACAGGTGAAGCAGGTTGAACGCAAATCGTTCTAAGTCAATTCGTTGACACGCATCTGTAGCGATCTACATTGATCTAGGTTATAATCATGCGCGTAAACGCTGACGGCCGGGATAAATACGCCAGAGAACATGCTATGTCCCCCGAAGTCCACACATTTCTGTCCCGCTGCACACTGTGTTATCGGAATAAACGAGCCATTCGGGAACCATTGGATGGTAAGCCCTCAATGAGGCAACGTATGAAGGTTGGATTATTACTGACTGTCATAGCCCAAGTGGTCCACATCCAACAAACGGAGATGGACAACATACAGAGGTCTGGTTCCATAGGGTTTACATAGTCACCGTTCAAGCTATGAAGAAGTAGTGAAAATAGAGACGCACACACCATGCTCGTTAGTTAGAAGTGGGAAACACCTCAGCTACTGTGCCGCAATACCTATGAGAAAAAGGGGGGAAATGCAACAGGTGCAAGCCAGCTGAGATACCGGTAACGGATGGGCATACTTCCGGTAAGCTACCTGACGGCTATTAAACAGCAGGAAAAAATAATTTACTATGCAAAATTATAACATCCTATATAATGAGATCGTGATTGGAAGAGGTGTCTAAGAGGGATGGGGTGGGACAAAGAGATTCACAGCACGAACGCCACTGAGATCGGCTCCTAGCCATATCAACCAATGTGTCCAGCCGAACGTGTTCATCCTCTTTCGGACCCCAACAAGGGAGTCGAGACGCTCCAACCGAGACCAGCTTCGAAGTGAGGGCCTTCATTCCTCTCTACCAAGTCATCGCTTGGCCACCTCTTCTTCCATCCACACCCCCGGCGAGCAAACAACGTACGTCGCGGGAGTCATTGGGTTGGCATGCGTAACTCGTGGCCGAGCCATCGGAGCCTGATGCGTGAAATAACGGTGCTGAGCGGTTCATTTCCTTTTCCCGTGCCGTAAACAAGGCGTGGAACACGCTCGTTGATCACACGGTGTTCCCACCAGATGTGAGCTAAATTGCGAAGGCACCGGTGGTCGAACATAACTAACCTCTTTATGTCCAGTGCTTTAAGGGGCGAGGTTTCGCAACCGTACAGTAGGGTCGAACATACGGCTGCATTGTACACTTTACCCTTCAGGGCGACCGTGATGTCGCTCCGGTGCCATAAGTGGCGAAGGTTGGCAAAAGCACCTCGATCTTTTGCTATGCGGTTCGTGATCTCATCTTCAATCCCACAGGCGCTGATACAATTTCCCAGCTAGTTGTATTTTCGAACGACTTCTAGCTGATCTCCACCAAGAGTCAGCGAAGGAGGCGGTCTAGATAAATCTTGGAGGAACGCTTTGCACTTTGATGGTGCAAAGCAAAGCCCGTAACGAGTGACACTCAGTGCTAATCTGTCCAGTGCCGCTTGGCACGTTTGGGAGCTGTCACAGTTTAGGATCTTTCACCAATTGTCAACATAGAGAGGTAGTCAATATATAGAGGTGGTCAACTTTAGAGGTTTTGCTGTAATAGTTACATAGATTAGTTATTAACTTAAGATAAGCATGTACATTGGTTTCTTCGTGGTTGGCCATAAGTATTGAATGTTCGAATTCAAGTCAAGTCAAAATAAGTTTTATATGTCCTGATAGATACGTTTCCAGCACTTTGCGATATCGACAACCGATGAGCTAACATTACATTGAACTAAATTTAGGGGAATGGATAAAAGGACTGAGTAGAAAGGACACTTGACTAAACGATCAGTTTAAACGAGCAGCGATTTATTCGGCGAGGATACCTAAGCAGCTCCTGCATGTCCAACTGCGTGCAGGGAAACCTCACGTGGGAAGGCCGAATTTACTTTACCATGACCTGATCATGGTGAGTTCATCGAGCACTAATGTTGGTTTCAGGTGTTGGGAATCAAAGACGAATAGCCTCATCTGACCAAATGGGCAGTTGCTCAGATTCTGTAGGAAAGATTGTTACATGAGGAGAAGAAACGTCATGTACGGGAGCGACAGGCGCAGTCGGAGAGTAGCTTATTGACGTCGAGCTCATGGTACTGTAGCACATGCGTTTGCGAGTGCCTGAGCGAAGCGGGCTTCGTAGGCCGCCAGCGTGGCCACTTTGGGCCAGAATCCAAAATAATACGAGTCAACTGATTATCTAAGCATATTCAGCGCAGCCGTTGATAGGTGCCTTGAGTCCGCATCTATTCTATTTACTAATACATGTCAATAATGTGGTTGATGTGGTACGTATGACGCGTCATCGTTGCAGCTGTTATGTACATGGACTTGCGTGTTGTGTTTCTTACGTCTCAGGGATTGGCTGTTGACTGAAATGCCATGGGTGACTGTATTTGCAGAGGCAGTCGCGATCAGCCGTATCAAACCCGCACTCTGTGTGCAGAAACAGCTGTTCGTAAGCCTACGGCTGCCCTGGGCGTAGGGGTGTCACGCCTGCCCCTCTACCCTCTTCTAACTTGTTCCGGTCTCACCCTATCTGTCGTATTATATATTTTCATGTTATTGAGTTGGCACTGAAGAGACAATACGAAATGTTGACATCTGCCAGTGTTCGTCTTCTTACGGCATTATTCAAATTACTAAAGGGATCTAATTGTTTCAAATTTCTCAAAAGACGAATTCCCGTTGATTTCGTAAGGCAGTTACGCCGTATTGTTAGTCTGAAGTGCAAACTTGTTTGCTGTCGTTCGGAAATATCTGTTCTCTCAAACTGTATCACCGTACTTCAATATCCACGTTCGATTTGGAAGGTGTTGCGTAAAAATAAGCTAAAGCCGTCCAATGGAAATCCCCGGCGCATTGCCTCCGCTCAATTGGAGACTGCACAGACTCGACTCACTGCGCTACTCGAGACGCATTCCCGCCTAATGCCAATACTGGATAGCTTATCGTTGTGCTGCAGGATTGTGTTTACCAACTTCTGCAAATTTACTATTGATCGTACAAAGGAGAAATGCAAAGTCCGGTGGCAGAATTCACTAGTTGACAAACGGGAGGAGCCTGCATATCGTGACCCCAATACGTACGTTTTAAACCTGTCCAATGTTCCCCTTGATGCCTTACAACTGGAAGCATTATCGCTCGGAATGGATTACAAAGTCCCACCTGGTAAGCTAAACCGTTTGTTCATAGAGGCACAGTTTGAAAATTTTTATGACCAGTTAGCAGGATTACAGGCATCTAGTCCAGATATGTCCAACTGATTTAGAAACAAACTAACTGATATTGCCCATGAGGTCACATTGACGCCAGTGCGTGAGAAGTGTTTGCTAACAAGGCGTCACCTTTGTGCACTACGAGAGCTGAGGACGAAGGGGGTGATTGTACTTAAGCCAGACAAAGGCTCGGGAGCCGTCATTATGTGCAAGGAAGAATACACACGGAAAATGCAAGAGTTACTGAGTGATACTAGCAAATTTAAACTCCTTACAAGAACAGAGGATGTTAGTGAAGTGGAAAGACGCATCACGGAACACCTAAAGTTGCTCCTCTTACACCGTGTAATTGATGATGAGGTATATAACAACCTAAAACCGGGAGGGTCCAACATACCTCAGCTATACGGTTTGCCAAAGACCCATAAATGTGGTATACCGCTTAGACCAATCTTGTCAATGGCAAACTCGGCACAACATAAGTTGGCTCGTTGGCTGGTAGAAGTTCTTTCGCCGTTAAAGCAGCAGACTATCCCACACCGTCTGAAGGACTCTTTCGAACTTACAGAGGCTTTAGATGAGTTTAACCTATCCGATAAAGTCATGTCCACATTGGATGTACAATCGCTCTTCACCAATGTTCCGCTACATGAGACAGTTGATTACGTATGTGAAATGGCAGAGTGCTCCGATTTTACTCTTCCAATGCCAGTCGAATTATTAAAGGACAGCTTGCTACTATGTACTGAGAACATCGGTTTCCAATTCCAAAACATTCCTTATCGCCAGATAGATGGGGTGGCAATGGGTAGTCCGTTGGGCCCAGTACTAGCAGATTTTTTCATGTCGATGATTGAAAAGAAGTTGAGTGTGGAAATATCGCTGCTTTCCTACTATAAGCGATATGTGGATGATATTTTAGTGTGTAGCTCATCAGAGGAGCACATTGCGCGTCTAGTCGATCGCCTGAATAACGTGCATACGAATCTGAAAGTAACCAACGAAACAGAGAAAAGCAACTGCCTTCCATATCTGGACGTGTTGATTTGCCGGAGACCAGATGGGTCCATCAAAAGAGAGGTTTACCGAAAACCGACTTGGTCAGGGCAGTACCTACACTTTGCCAGCTTCTCCCCAATGCGGTACAAGCGGACCTTAGTCAAGACGCTATTCAACCGTGCAAGGAAAATATGCACTACCGACAGTTTAGATGATGAGATAAACTCGCTCAAGGATACGCTGTTTAAAAATGGCTATCCAAGTAGGTTCATCGACAAACATAGTCAGGCGAGGGTGCCGGGACAGAAGGTATCGACAGTGGCTAAAAAGAAGATCTACATCGAGCTACCATTTAAGGGAGATTTTGCCAATATGAGGACAACGAAGCGCATAATTTCCGCAGTCCAGAGGACTTATTATGCTGCCGAAACTGTCCTTATCAACCGGACTAATCGAATATCTGTTACCCCAATGACGGAAAGACAACCTATTGGCGCCAACTCACATTGCATTTACCAATTTACTTGTAGTTGTGGTATACACTGCATCGGCCGTACCAATCGATCGTTGAATTCCAGAATAAGGGAACATGTACCTAAATGGTTGCAGCGTCAAATCACCCAGTCGTCGGTTGCTCATACCAGCTGTTCACGTAAACCACCTGCTTCATCCATAGGTAGGCACTTACTGGCCACCTGTCACCAGTTTGACCCAGCCACAATGTTTACAATCGTGTTAAGACATACTAACACCCGTTTCCTACGTTTTGCAGAGGCAGTCGCGATCAGCCGTATCAAACCCGCACTCTGTGTGCAGAAACAGCTGTTCGTAAGCCTACGGCTGCCCTGGGCGTAGGGGTGTCACGCCTGCCCCTCTACCCTCTTCTAACTTGTTCCGGTCTCACCCTATCTGTCGTATTATATATTTTCATGTTATTGTGTTGGCACTGAAGAGACAATACGAAATGTTGACATCTGCCAGTGTTCGTCTTCTTACGGCATTATTCAAATTACTAAAGGGATCTAATTGTTTCAGTGTGCAATTGTCTATTACCTACCACCTCATCTATGCTGACTCCAGGAGACAGTTCGTTGCTGGAGGGGACGGGGTACACGGTCCTCGTGACAATGCTAGGTACAAAGCGGGGATCCATGAATCCAGTGTGGAAAGGATTACCACTCAGTCACTCCCTTGTGTACGTCTGATACGCATGATTTCCCAGTTAGGCATGAATGCTTCTGCTCTGCCTGTTAAAGGAGTGTGGTCCGGTTCCGTTGTTGCAACCTGACTTCCATCCATAAGCCTCTCGCTTATTCCTTCGCGTTTTCACTAGATATGATGTGTGTGCATTGAGCTGTACGTGGTTCAACGCAAGTCACCCATGGTCTCTCTGTATGCGCAGGCCTCGTGTGGCTGTCCTCGTGGAGACCCCAGTGACAGGCAAATGCGGAACCGGATGACGCCAGCCATGTATATTCTACTTTGTTGAAATGGAAAGGGAACTTTTGGAATCACGATGCCAACCGGCAGATCGGTCGGACTGCGGCTACTGAAGGCAGGTTGAGGATTCTTTGAACTTCTAGCTACCAGCCGCGTTTCGTTCTGATCGTTAGCTGACGTGCCCTCGGTAGCTTCAGCACGCCGCTGCCAGTTGGCGTGCTATCTCAAAATCTCATTTTCTTTGTGAACACAGTGTCATTTGCATATATATATATGTATATATATATATATATATATATATATATATATATATATATATATATATATATATTATTCATTTGCTGGATTTTTGTTTGGTGTTTGCGCCATTCTAAATAGTACCCAAACTGTCGTCACAAAATTGCACGTTAAGTGGCGCTGCTGGGTGTCAGCGAATGTTGGAACTTAGCCAGACCAGAATCGCGCCAACAGCCCGCACTTTCCTTACGCAACACCTTGACAAGCTGTCTACGTATAACTTACCCATGACCCTTGTCGCTGTGTCTCTCCCACTTTCGTGTTAATGTCTTTCATTCGCATTCGTTATGTAAAGTGCATTTGCATAGTAGTATTGTTGTCACTGTTTAAGATGTTCATTGGACTGTCTAGAATCAAGGTATACCTGCTGTTACGTTCCCTTGTAATTTACTTGAGTACCTGGTCATCATTACATGTTAGATATAGGAATCACCTCAGTAATTTGGCCGCATTACGTTGAAGATAAGACATATGAAAAAGGGAGATACCGAGCATCAAAATTAATATAATATTTGGTATGATATGATGCATCGGCTGTCAGCTCGTGTTTGGAGACGGAAGCTAAGCGGGAGGGTGAGACAAAGAGACTCACAACACAATTACCATCGACGTCGACTCTTCGTTATGTCGACAAATGTACCCAACCAATCCTGTTTCTCTTCTTCTTCCATCCGGACCTCCGGCGCGCAAACAACTCACGTTGCGGGACTCGATTTGCTTATACGTACAACACAACCCAGCAATCTAAGCGTGACACACTATATACCGGTGCTTAGCGGTTCACTCGCTCTTCCTGCACCAAATGCGAGATGCCGAACGCGCCCATCGCTCACGTGGTATCCCACCAAATATGAGCCAAACTACGAATGCAGCTATTTTTGACCGTATCAAGGCTCTTTACCTCTATCGATCTGAGGTACCAGTTTTCGCGACGATATCGGAGTGGTTGTGGGTACGACTGCATTGTAATATTTGTCTTTTAGAGCGAGAGCGATGTCGTTCCGACACCATAAGTGGCAGGGATTAACGAAAGCACCTCGAGGCTGAATACTGACTGACTGACGGTTCAATTTCCCCACTACTGATCCATGTGTATACCTCACTCGCTCATCTTTAAGCTTCATTCAGTTGTATTTTCTCTGTTTTTCGGATGTGTGAGATTAAGTTAACCTCACTTACCATCACGGCTGAACACCTTGTGATTTTCCTTCTCTCTCTTTCGTCACTCCGACCTGACGATCCGCAGATATGAAGTCGACGCAGTCGTGAGGAGACCCGGTGACAAGCGCCCTCGGATCATGCCTTTCAACTATTTTTGATCTATTTTCTCGGATTGTTTGATTTTGTATCTCTTATCTATTGTGTAACGAAATACCAATCTCATACCGCATCCCATTGGTATCACCATTATAGTTCTTTTTTGCTTTCTCTGGAAACCACGAACCTAATATGTGTGTGCGTAGACATTAAACTGTTGTAGAAGGCTGCGCGTGTGTGTATGTGATCCGCGTTTCGACTCAGCCGACATCATCTGTCTTTGTGGGCACTAATGGTAGTCGTACGCCTCGCCGCACGACTGCCTGGATGATGTGTTTGGATAACACCACCATCGGTGTCCACCTAACTGCTGTACGTTGGATGTTGTAGGTCCCATGCGTACACGAAACTCCTGTCACAATGCGCGATTACACAATTCCCTACACAGGTGGGTTCATAAACGCGTTAGCAGCAGCGTAGCGATGCAGTATCCATTGACTGAGCTCCAAGGAACCTACGAAATGAGTAGTGAATACGGAACACGAACATCCGTCCAGTCACGAGGTCGCGCAGTGTGACAACATGATTCCCATATGCAAGGGTGCATGGTTCAAGCGAGTCATTCTCAGCAACAGCAGTATTTTAGCCATTTTTCAAGTCAACTCAATCCAGTATAAGCTTTATGTGCCCAAAAGGGTGCACTCTCAGTATTTTAAATTATCGACTGTAAATGTACTAATTAGGGAGCATCAAAAATCCTATGGTTTACAAATGGGCAGAGATGAGAAGGGTGCATTGTCGTAACTTGAGCGAACAACAATCGCGCAATGCCGAACTAAATCTTGTGATCTGCATCCATTCAAAAGGGAAAGGTTTGATTAAAACATTTCCTCATAACTCGTTCCCGCTTGCATAATATTCTCTGTCCAAAGCATTATATGGGGGATCGTACACGACATCTTAGCGTTCATAGTCAAAAGTAGTTAGAGCAGTTTTGTCTCAGTGATTTCGCAAGTGGATTGAACAAAGTATATTTTAGCTTAATCTTGCAAAACTGATACCTATACAGTTGATAATGTAAAAAAATGATGTTCAACGAAAAATGCAACGGCAAACTTAAAGGTCCGGCCCAAGTGAACTGATGCTTCATTGCCGTACGACCACGGTAACCTACGGAGCGAAGAACAATTAAAAGGAGAGAAAGGGGATCTAGTGTAAGACCTTAATGCCCTAAACAAACATTCAGAGTCAAAGCGCCTACACCTTGTGTAGACAACATACCGTCACAAACAGCTGGCTATCGTGCAAACATAAGGCGGCATCGGCGAGACAGCTTCATTGCGGCTTTCCCTGCCACGCGTCATAATCAGGCATTATCCCGCAGATAACTCAGCACCAAACACACTTTGAACAGACAATCCTCCTAGAAGACGGAGGCAGATGCGCCATTGGTGGTCGGCTACGAGCCATGTCCTGTAACGTCTTGAGCCAGGCACGAGGCTAGTCACGTGGACTGCAATTTGGCAGCTGCGACAGCACCGAGTTTGGTGGTCAGTGACTTCATTTCCCGCTGTCAAGTCAACTTCTGTCCACCTCGTGCTTTTCACCACCCTACATGTGGCAAACAAAACAAAGCGCTCCTTGGTAAGCAGTGACGTAGTACTTGCCCAGTCCAATGCAACTTATTCGGTGCTATCTGTTGTCATAAGAAATGAGCCTGGTTTTCACTGCCTAGTACTCGCCTACGCATATCATCGTTTCGGAAACGCTGGTGCCATCTGACAGCAGCAATGATTCGCAGACAACGATGTTAAAAGATTTGAAGGCGCCTCAGGTCTTCAGATCAGAGGGGCCAAATCTGGCTTCATAGAGTAGGACGGCCCTCATTTTGGCCTTGTATCCACGACTTTTCATTGGAGGGAAACCCCTTCTGTCGCCAAAGATGTCGCAGGTTCAACTTGGAAATTCTGACCTTTCCAATGCGCGAATTGATTTCAGTTGCTTCGCGTCCATCGTTGCCGATGCAGCTGCCAACGTAGGTTTGTGATCAACTTTCTCGTGTTCCTCGCCTTCAGGTGTCAAGGGGTATTCAAATGGCTGGTGTTCTTGTAGGAGCACTTTGAAAATGCGAAGCGTATACTAATTTATGAGACCGCTCTACTGAAGTTATTCAGAGTTGCTTGGGCCGCCCCAACGTCTTAAACAGCAAGACGATATTGTCCGTATAATCTAGATGAACTAGACTTTCACTGGGCAACACTTCAACGCCTGCATGGTGAGGCTCTGCAAGGGAACACTTCGTGATGCAGTCCGCGACGAAGTTGAACAAAGGGGTGGAAATTGGGCAACCCTGACTGACGCCAAATGTTGTGGGAAAGATATCGGGCAACTCACCGTTGACCATAACGCGGCCTGTGGTGTTCGAGTACAAACCGCGCAAAATGTTCACATATATTATGGTAATACTATTCCGCACAAGTATTTCGAGCGGAAATGGCCGATCGACTGAGCCGAACGCACTCTTGAAGTTAAGGAACACAGCTATTGTCGGCCTCCGGTACGTGTGTCTTTTTTCTACCATCTGCCGCAGAGTGAATACGTGGTCTACACACCACCGTTCTGGGCGGAAGCCTACCTGTTCTTCTCTGTTTCTTGATTCCTGCTCTGTATTGAGGTGACGAACGCAAATCGAGGCCAGTAATTTTGTCACCACCGACGTTAGGCTAATACCCTGTTCTTATCACTTTCGGTGTGACTGTCCTTCTTTGTACATCTCCGCCATAATTGATTCACTCTAGTTAGCCTGGTTAGTCTCTTCCTTTCGGTTATGTCCGAACAGTGAGGTCCGTGCTTGGCAGAGGACATTTCCACCATTCTTAAATATTGCGAATGCGAGGGAATCCGGGTCAGCAGTTAGAAAGTGATTAAGAGCTGTGACCGTCTTTCGGACCTTGGCCTTCGAAGATTCTCTAAACTAACTGACCATGACTCAACCTTCACCTGAGTAGGAAGGGTTACGTAAGCAAGGGGCCTATTAAACTGATCATGAACGTGTTTCTCCGAACGAGGCATACGGTGCTTCTTATTGTGAATCAGGGCACTCGCGCTCTCTCTGTCTTGCTGACTCCTGGTGCAGATCATTTTGAAGTGTTTTCGATAATTACCTACTGCTCCTGCTTCCTCCATTTCTTGACCTGTTCCGGTCCAGCAGGCGTCCTTGTGAGTAGGCAGGCTCTGCTTTTGTTTGCGCCTAATAGTCCGCCTGGTTACATTGTTCTTTAGAGCCAGCCAGGAGTTTTCTTCTGGATTCCAATAGGTTCACCAACCTCTTGGATATCCCGCGATTGATGCGATAAGGATTGATAGTGACGCAAGCGGAGGCTCTTGCATCGTGCACGGCGGCCGAGATCCTATTCTATTAGAACTCAGTGTCATTAGGACAAGAGAGTGAAATTTCGGTACGCAAGGCATTCTGATAGGCTTGACTTTCCGAGGTCTTAGATAAACTCTCATTTGCCAATTGGGGGAAGACGCTTGGTGCGCCTCCTAAAAACTTCATGGGTAAACGACAGCATGCCAAGGCATGACTAGAGCCAACGCAATTGCTCCAGTAAGGGAGAGGATCCAGGATTGAACCATACCACCCGTAACTTATGGTTATGTGATCTATTTGGGTCCATCGCTGGTGGACGCCAAGTAGCACTTCGGCGCCCACTATGTCTAAAAGCCGTGCTACTAAGAAATAGTTGGTGCTTCGCGCAAAGATGTAACGGACGCTCGCTGTTGTCCTTACGGTCAGAGTTAAGTCCATACCTAGCTAAGCTTCTGAAAAGCTCAGACGATCTATTTGCGCATTCATATTCCCTGCAACAACATTGATATCTGAACTGGTAACAACGCTTAGTAGCACGTTTACTTCGTGATAAATGGTGTCCTTGACAGCATCAGAAATGCAAGAAGTTGGGACATAAGCGGAAACCGTAATCAGTGTCTACTGCCACTTCTTAAATTAACCTTAGTCGATATCGTCAAACGGACTGCACACCAGCGGGTTTTCCCGGGAATCCAATCCAACTAGCCTTGGAGCTGAGAACAACACCCATTCCAGCCTGACTAGTGGTTGCTGCATCAACGTCTCCTGATGCATGCAACCAACAGCGAAAGGACAAACCGGGTGCAGTTAATTCAACGACCCCGTGGTGGTCTTCGATCCTAATTCCGGACACAACATACGTCAATCCCCAGCATGCGTACGAATGTGCCCTGTGCGAACATTGAGCGCTGCCAGGGAAACGGGACAGTGTGGCCTTATAAGTAGTTGTTGGCGTTTGGTATTCAGTGGGTTCTGCGGGAGTCATGCAAGTTGATTGTCGAATCCACAGCTTCGTCAGCTCTTCCGGCCACAGAGACCGGTATCGGTGAACGAGGTAAGCAGTCATCTGAGCGGCATCTATAAATGATGGCTTTACGTTTCCGTTGTGTTACACAGCCTTGGATCGGTTTATGCTCACACTTTTTGTTTTATGTTAGACGCCGGGTCGGATGCTGGTTTTCTATCGTTTTGCCTGCGGATATCTCACACATCTAGTGACTGTTATCACATTAGACAAGGAGAAATAGAAAGAGGCGTATGTGATCCTTTGTGTCCTTGGTTCTCAGAATGTCGAGGCTCCAATACAAATGAGACCATGGTAACCCTTATGTCCCCTGAGGCGTGCACTTCCTTCACTTTGCTTTATCGACTATGGACGTGTATCGTCAAGATGGCAGACGCTGTACAAATGGAAAAATGTCAGGTATGTCACTGGAGTAGGCGATCCCACCTCGCACCAATGACTTTATTGGTGTCAGCAAGTAAGCACTATGTCACAGTTACGGTAAGATACAGCGCGAGAATATAGAACTTTAAATATAGTACAGTCAGAAGAAATGGATTGAGCTCTTGTTAAGCCATCCTGTGATGAATAACCTCATTCAAAATTCTAAAAAGAAAATTTTCTGTGTAACGTACTACTTGCTGCTAAGGTGATCAACTAGATGGAACATGGTACTGTCCGTTGAAGAAAACCAAAGCGTATGTCTGATAGTGGGAAGTGACGCAGTAATGAATTTCAAAGTTAACTGGTGGACACTGGATGCATTGAGTCGGAG